CCGCTGGCGTGGATCTTTCATTGGGCACTGGCATCGAGCCCAGATTAACTCGGCCTGCCGCTAGGTTGTTACTAGATGTCGTACCCTTACAAATGAAATGTGTCCCCTTATGGAAAGTAGTTATCTACAGAGCATACGCATACCGGGTACCCCAGGAGTAAAGCAGTAGGTAGTATGGATCGAGGACTCTTCATATCTATAAATATAGAAGTTCTAAATTCTTTTTTTACGAAAATAGAGGATAATTTATGTAAACATTTGCCAAAACTATGAAATTCAATATTTTAGACAATAGCGAAAGTGAAGCGATTCCAATTTGATTTTGCACAATATTAGAAGTGATTAGGCGTAATTTGAAACTGGCAAGAAAATTGAATGGCTTAATCACAGTTCATTATATAAGCAGTTTCAACTATAAAATGCCCATATTTGTTATTAGGCACTCGAAATTTCCGCATTTCTCCATATATTTCAAGTGTCACCAGTTGTCAATGTAATTATAACATAACCAAATACCGAAAAATGCGCTGGCTTCTGAAATTTGCTTGTTTTCGACAATCTGAATACTGCGAGATGCATGACACCTTGATTCCGGTAAGTAGGCAGAGGGTGTGGTCGAATAGATTCTTCATCGTATTTCCATATTATCTTGTTCATTTTTCGAACAATCTCAAAAATATTTTCACATATCGACAAGATAACATTGTTTACATGTCATGAGCCGCCCAAGACGTGACAAAACAGTTAGATAGAAAAGTTATTAGATAATATTGTGTGATAAAACAACCTTTTTCAAAAACAATGAGCTCATGACATACATATGCTTTAGCTTAGTGTGGACACGGAAAGATTGAAAAAAATGGATAAAAAGAATCGTATATTTTTGAATGTGTGTATGAAGCCTAATAATGGCATCATTAAAGCGTGTACCAACACAAACCATCACAAAAATACATTCGGAGGCCCCAAAAAAAAACAACAAAAAACGTGAGCAACCTTAAGGAACAGCGCTCTCGTTGGTATGAAAAGCAGCTCTTAGCTGACACCCTCTAGGTTAAATAAGGACTATTATTATCGTTATTGAGGAACAGTAGAGTATGTCTTCTTCAAAACTAAGTACTACTCGTAGTTGGCTCGAACGAGTCAAAGAATTGGTAAACCATGTAGCAACCAGAAAATGCTGTATTCTGTCAATCTGAGTGGTCAATGTACTGGTTAAAAAACTTTCGTTTTCATTTAAGCTTTTAAATCTAACACATAATTATTATCTTATCAACTACTTCGCAAAACCCAGAAGTAATATGTTTGAATATGAATGGTTGTCCAGTCTGGCGTATCTCATCTTAAGCATAATATGGAGCGGCGTAAAGATTTGTGTTTTATCCGCGAGCTTATCGTCGACTTTGAAATGACTTTCAACAATGTCGTGGCAGGTACCAAACCTGTGTCATCAAGGGATACAAACATTTTGTTTTACACCAGCTGTGACCCGCTTAAAACAACTCTCACTGCTGCTCGGTAGATACGCTATTATTTTCCAGGCGGAAATTTATGCGATTCTATCTCGCGTATCCCATGTTCTGGAGGAGAAGGGCCTAGGAAAATAATAACAACTATCTCCGAGAGCCAGGCTAAAATGAAGGCACTAAGTACCTGCATGATTACTTTGAGCCTTGAGATTCTGGATAGTTTAGGAGTGAGCCATCTGGTATCGCTATTGGAGCACGCTGGACTATGCTGGACGCTCTCGCGAGAGCAGGATCAGCGGGCAGGCTTGCTGCATCTGAGCCAGCTCTAGGAGTGCCCGCGCAACGAATCAGGAGGATAACGGAGAAGTTGATATCTAGACACCACTCTCTGAAGTGGAGAAGTATCTCTAGTCATCTCCGACAGGGACGGGATTTTAGGGTCTAGTGCTAAGGATGGACGCTTTTGTGTATCTTTGGATAGAGCCAACCTAAAGTTGTTGGAGGGCTGTTGTCTGGTCGTAACACAATGAGGCACCACCTGCATGTGATGGCGGTAGAGGAAGGGTCCTCGGTGCATGTACTGAGTCGCTGCAAGGCTCTGACTTATCACAGGCGGGGTCAAACACTTTGGATCCTCAGAATCTTCAGGAGCTGGAACAAAGAGCTATACTTAACTTCGCTAGAAGGGCGGAGCTTGAGGCTTGGGGAATGTAGTGGTGCATAAGGGCCCATCATGTGTCCCATGCGCTAGATCCTAGTGTTGGCTCTAATTTCGTTTATTCATCATTTCCCGCAAGAGCAGAAGGTGTTTCAAATAACAACATAAGGATTTCCTGCCATAAAACGTTTCATTACCAAGGCGTAGGGTTTCGTAAATTTATAAACTACTGACGGCGCTGATAGTGGACAGAGTATGACTATTCTCCACATAATGACCAAAATTCCCCATATGGTGAATGCAACATATAAAGCATTAGGCTATTGCGTCAGATGTAGGTCGAGCTCAAAGCTCCTGTATTTCACCTTTATTAGGAGCATGCGTCTCTCCTTCCTATCAAACCTACAGAGCGAGGTTTTTACCATTTAGCGCTGTTAAGAATCTTTCAATTTGAGCCGTTATGACTAAGGTGTGATTTATCAATGCTAATATTATTACATAAGGTACTAAACAACAAAATTGGTTGCCCATTGATATTAAGTAAAATTAATTTTCGCGTCTCTAGGTTAGGCAGACGGGGTCAGACTTTGTTTTACCGAGACATTTGTAAATCACCGTTAAACTACGAGTACTCGTATATGTGTAAATGTTTCAATGCCATTTGTACCTCTTGTGATATTTTTTGTGATCGAGAAAAATCTGTAATGGATTGTCACCGAGATTTGTACCTTGGTGTGATATATAGAATCAATATGTTAAGAGCTATTTCCACATTTCAAATAGAGGCATACTTATCTACATTTATTTGTATTTTTAGTTCTCTTTTCATGTTCCGCTGTTGTTAAATTATTATTGACTTATTTTCGTTGTTGGTATATTTCCTGTAGTGGGGTGTAACCTAATGGGAATTATAAACAAACAAATAAATATAAATATATAAATAAATAAATAAATAAATAAATAAATAAATAAATAAATAAATAAATAAAGACGTAAATAAATAAATAAATATATAAATAAATGAATGCATAAATACCATTTTGGTGAGGGCGTTACTAAATGTAATCTTAAGCGGCTAATTCTAATAACGTGTGCATATTGTGGAGATATGTACGTATTTTATACCGATTTTGCCTTAAATACCTATTCTATTTTTCCAAAACGAAATTGTCTGACGAAAATGTTTGCTACAGTGCTGCAAACATGCTGCTTCCGTCCATCCAACCAAAGCGATGGACAGCTGTTTCTTGCGTTTTGGCAACTCATCTGCAAGGTCTAGGCTTGGTATCTGGCACAACGAACGAAAACAAAACAACTATCATCTGTTCAAGGTATGACATGTATCGACAGCGCAAACTGCCATCTATTACCAGATTCGATCACTGCGAGAATGTATAGCAGCTATCGGTTGGACCTACCAGTTCACGTAAATGGCGCTTTGCGCTGTCTTATTTCGATAGATCTTATACTTTGGATAGAGGGTATATACTGTGCTTTCAATCTTTGTCTCAGTGACCAAGCTGTTCGTGGATGGCAGCATCTTCATTTGTTCAATAGCCAGTAGACCACATCTGCTATACTACCAGTATCGTTAACCTCTAGCGGTCACAGTGGTGACTAGGCTATCAAACACGGATTGAGATCTCTACAGTTCCAACTAATGGCCAATTTACATTCTCGCAGAGTTCAATTCTGGTAATAGATGGCGCTTTGCGCTGCCTTTTTCCAACAGACAGTATAAATACCTTATTCAAAGGTGCAATTGACGCTTCTAAAAAGTCAATGGCTCTGTAGCAATCAAAACTTCTCTGTGTCTATGACTTTGGTGCTGTTTAGGGTTTTTCGGATGAACACATCCGGATGAGTGAATTTCCTTTACGAAGATAGCACCATTTGAACGCTGCCTTCGTAGGAAGTAGTAGAATAAGGTCTCAGTCAATGTTTTTGTTTGGCCAAGTGTCCGGAATTTAAAAATAAAATACATCAGGAAGCTTGTTCACAAAGAACCTGAACTACATTTATTAAAGCTCTTATTCAAGGAGTTGAATTTTTTAGATATTCGTCAGTTGTATCTGTATACAGTATTGGCAAGAACTCATTGTGACAGAAGTATGTTGGCAACATGACACCAAACAAAGTATTGCACCCGTCCCAAAGATTAAAAAAACGTACCTCATATATAGATATAATCTGAGAACTACAACAAACAAATTCTTTTGAACTATTTAAGAACAGGATCAAAAATGGGTAATGCATATGCCATGGACTGAGGCACACGGTTATAAAACGGAATTGAAGCAATTTTTTGTGTTTAGCAAAAAACACTACCAGGTTCAAGTCTGTTCAACTATTAAATATTGAAATGAATCAACTACAAATTCAATTTCAATCCAATACTTCTACCATCATCAAGACATATAAGGTTATGTCGTATTCTTAATATGAAGCTTTCCTTTCTGCGAGTTCTAGATTTACCTATACCTCAACATATTCTTTTGTGTATTATAGATTTAATTTTTTTTAAAGACAAATAAATATCATTCTGATATTATTGTTATTATTTCAGAAGACGTTGTGATACGGAATTTCCTGCATTTCTCCTAATAATAATCAATTTCAATTACATAAGTCCTTATCAGAATCAAGTTTTCAGTAAACCTTGAATGTCCTTTGTTTGATGTCTTTATGGCGAAAAATATTGGTTACTTATTTGAAGTAGATGTCTGTGCATAAGTGCTAGTTCATGAGACTTAAACACAATAAAAATGATTATTACATTATAAACTTTATTGTATTTTGAATTAGCATTTATGATAGACATGACCTATGCAGTTTGAGTACTATCTATATATTTGTATAATATATGAATTTAAGAACCAGAGGGCTAGATGCTCTCATGACAGAACATTAGATATTTTATCTAGGAAGAATATCTATAGTATTGAAATCGTCAATGAAGTTTGCGGTTCATCAACTAGTACTCTGCGAACTATCACAAAAAACGCTATTCCCTCAAAAATAAGCTATTTGAAATGGAAGATGGGTTCACGATGTCCGATCCAAAATTTAAAGGTAAATAGCTATTAAGTAACTTACAATTATAAGATAAAATTTTGCTGCATCGTTACCAGCAAATAACACATATTTTCGAAAGTCTGTGCAGTTTTTACCAAGATCAACCATTGATAAAAAAGATTCAAAAAGATGGACACACAAACCAACGACGAAAATAAGTAATCTCAAGTTTATTGTAAAGCTTTGAAGAAATCTGGAATGTAGAAACACGTGTTTCCAAATATTGCCGAAACTGTTACATTTGTCAGATACTCAGCCTTATAGAAAGGCGACCTTATTTTTTTGCATGATGCAAACTGTAAGTAACAGGTGGTTTTCCTTTAAAACGATTTTACATTATAATTTATCTTCTATAATTTCCGCTGTTTTGCGTATGATTTGATAAGTATTTAAAACTATTTGAGCTAGGATCATTGCATTGCACAAGAAAGTAAGTAAACCTTTAATTCCAAGAAATCAGAAAAGGCATTATAAACTCCTTATACAAAGCTACATATTAAAACAGTGACAATTCAAAAAATATTCAATGCCATAGACTCCATGAGTGATAAAGAGCCCTTCAAAGCTGTTCTGGATGCAAAAGTCTATTTTCTCAATTCCGCTCAAAGTTTGTTCTATAACTTCACACCCAGGTAATCAAGACATCTCCCGTGTAATGCCAAATTATGTGACGGAATAACAAGGCTGCCTGTTACTTGTATTATAATTATGGTAGTCCGCATTTGTTCAAAAGAACCTTTACTGCATTCAATGTATATCACGTTCAAGCGAAAAAAACAACCTTTTTATATGCGCATTGTCTAAAAGCCTCTCCACACTTACGCCAGAATCTCGCGAGAAAGCGCGCAAAACATACGAAATGTGAATGTGGAAGCGATTTTCATAATCTTCGCAGTTTCTCGGCTTGTTCTGCGATTTTTTTCGGTTTTTTGACGCGAGACAAAAGAGCTGAGAATGCGAGAACAGGCGAGAACTTGCATTGACTCCACACTCGCATGTTTCTCAGTGGCAGCTGACTTGCCGATTAGAACAGTTGTGCGTGGAGCATCAATATGAACCGGATTTGGACGAACGAACTGGAATTGACATTCCTAGAATATTTTCAAGCAGAACCAATTTTGTGGAATTCAAATTTAAAAGAACATAAAAATAAACTAAAAGCCCTTGATGCGTGGAAACGTATTAGTACCTTGATGGACCTACCCATTAAAGAATTAAAAAGCAAAAAAAAATAGTTATTAACCAGATACAGAGGGTACAAAAATAAAGTCGACAAATCGGGAAAATCTGGTGTTGGTGTCGACGACATGTAATTTTGCACCCATCGTCATCGAGCACGAGAACTTATTGAGAAACTTGCGAGTGTGAAGAGAGAAGTTCTCGCTTAGTTTTTTGCAAAGATTATCGGCGAGATTCTCGCGTCAGTGTTGAGCGGCTTTTAGAAGATGAAAGAAAAAATGGTACGCCAAGGTGGCAAAATAACCTAAACGTAGAAACCGCGCATACGAGCTAGTAGTTAGTTATACTCCCTCTTTGTTTCAGGTCCCACTATAGGCGTTAGACATGTTCATGTAGCTATGTTATTTTCGATGCTAGCCATTGGATTTGGCATGAGGACAAACCTGTCTGTGGCTATAGTTGCCATGACCGATTCCAAAGCAACTACAAATCATGATATACCTGTGAGTCTATGAGAATTTGTATTTTGCTTTTCCCTTAACATTTCTAAAATACAGCAATAATTTTCCATCTGCAAATGCTAAAAATTGAATATTGATTGTTGCCATCCCAAAGCATCTCCAGCTATTCGTGGAAATGATTTTGTTGCTACAGGATAATAGGTGTCTATTCAGTTTTTCTATAATATCAGTGAATGTACCGGAGACCACGTATCTCATTTCAGTTTAATCTAAGGCACTTCCAGCGCTATATTTGCAAATATAAATGCCAATGACATCAATTTATATGAAAACCTTCTCGGAGTAGATGCATCACTACATAAAAAATAATGCCCTCTTAATCTCATTATCAGTTTGACATTGCGTAGGTAGTTGCGTACAGAACCCTTGGGTATCCGTTAGGGAAACATTTTCCCCTGGGTATGCTAAGCATGGTCGGGCATCAATGAAAGATTGTTGCGTCAATACGACCTTCAAGGAAAGATGCTCCCGTCGCTCATCTGGAGCTAAAGAAAATGCCGAAGCATGCTCTGCTGGCTATCATTTCCTCATGTTCACATTGTCTACCTCGAAATGTAGAAGTGTATCTACATGTTTTAAGACAAAAGGGCAGGTTAGCTATGCACTTCTCGCGCAATGCTGTTATCAGCTCATAAGCATGTTCAGCACAAATAGCCCCCCTTAAAAAACTCTCGGTAATCTTAAGACTTTTATGTATATGTAGAAAGAACTGCTCATTTTCCCAAGATATATATGCCGTGTAAAAGCAAATTCCAACTTCTAGAATACCATGTACATAATGTGTAACGAGTATGAATATTAATAATAATATGTTTATTCTTTAGGAACACTATGTAAAATCAACAAGGCTGTAAAATAATTCACAATATTAAATTAAAATGTTCCAAAATACAGAAACAAATGTGACAACTTGCTCCTTTCTGGGGCTGGATGTCACATTGCTTGGGGTTGGTCGTCACGTGTATTTTAGATCATTATTAAACTATGATATCATACTTTTAAACATATTTATTATTACAAAAAATGCTTATTAAACACCAAATCTTTATGAGAAAGAAGTAGAAGAGTTTTTTACAATTAGTCACTATCGCAGTTATGACATATGTAAAGTTCGCGTCCATCAGTGCACGCATCATGAGACCAACCATTACACGATGAGCATTTCACCCATACTTCATTTGGCGCGCTGTTAGAAAATGGTTCAAGTCAAATCAAGCAAAAACATCCTTCTCTATCAGTTTCATTATCTGAACAGGACTTGCGTTTTTCAATTTTTTTAGATTTCTTCAGTTTCTTTTTCTGAATCAAAAACGTCTCTTTTCACTGTTTCCCTGTTCCTCTTTTTCTTGTTCCAGCTTTTATTTTTCTCTTTCTCTAATTCGCCTTTTCCTTGAGTGTCAGTGAGTATTGCACTCCCTCGTTTACGACGGGAAACTCGATTCATTTTTCTTGCTGATGCCTTTGGATAAGGTCTTAAACTTTCTGGAAGTACTATACTCGTATTTCCCGTATGCAGCCTTACTAAACAGCAGGCATCATCAAAACTCGTTTGATTAGCTGTTTTGCTCTCTCGTATATTATCTATTGCTTCCTGTGTGTTAATATTTATCAGACTTACAGTTTCATCTTCGTTCAAAATGGTTGGATTTGGCCCAACTTCCTTTTCGTTTAAGGTTTCCGGGTTTGATCCAGATATCGCTTCGTTCAAGATACCCGGATCTGGCCTATCAGTGACAGAGCTCGCAAGAAAGTCATCATCCGTGAAAATATCTCTGTTGTAAGGAAACACACCCGACACCCGAAATCCAGACTGGGAGTAAATGCGAGGGGGTATGGAATAGAGACCACTGAAGGTATGTCGTATATAGTCATGGTCTTACCGGGATTATTTAAAACCCAAGCATCGCAGGAAGTATTTACATATGTCTTAAAAGGTCCGAAAACGGCGCGGTCAAAAGGTTGAAGTTTATGTGAACAGTGAGGGTAAAAAGAGAGCATGACAATACCATTTGGTTTGGCAAAATTCAGTCCTTCTATACGCAGATGTGATCCATGGTTATCTAGTAAAAGCAGGCACGGTCTTTCCATAGTACTTTTCACATGAAAGTGGAAAAATCTAAGAAACTCCAAGAAATGTGACTCTTTCATCCAACCTGATGGGTTTGCAGAACCTTGTGAGCCAGAAGGAGCCGAATTTAAAAAATGTGGTTTGAAATGTACCCGTGGAAAAATGAAAAAAAGAGGTATGGAATTTCCAATAGCTGATACTGCACTTGCTAAAGTAACAAGAGTTCCTCTTTCTGATGAAACTATCGAACCAACCTGTTTGAATCCTCTTCTGGCGACAACGCGGTCGGGTCTTTGGACAGTTGTAATCCCAGTTTCGTCCATGTTCCAGATTTCGTGACGCTCAAATTTATGTTTTTCCATAACTAAAGCTAAATTATCAAAAAATGCGTTGACGTTCGTTTTATTGATACTACTGGCTCTTGCTAAACAAGTTGCTTCCGGTTTGCGAATAGACAGTACAGGATGACGTTTCAGAAACCAGTCAGGACCAGCTATTTTATGGAGCTTCCAATTTTCCGGCATTTTCAAGGAATTAGCATTAGCAAATTCATATGCCAGTCCACGTACTTCCTTGTGTGATAATCCAACATAAATATCAGATGCTTTGAGTACGTATTCCACTAGATGATTTCAGTTCAGGCTCAAATACTAGATGATTTTTGATGTAGCCAACTGAAATTGACGGCGCAACAACTCGATCATCAAGTAATTTAGACTCTGGAATTTTCTTACAGAATCTTGCTAAAGCACGGTAATTTACATTGAAGTCAGCTGCCGCTTTTCTTATTGAGGATCCTAATCTCACTAATCTAGCAGCTCTTAAAAGTACGTCAGGTGGCGCTTTGCCCTTCTCAGTCTTCCTTTTGAAATTTCGAACCATGCTTCTGTAACCTGAAAATATTAAAAAATACATTATATACATATACCTACGTTGAATCATGTGCCAAGCTAATAGTCTAGTGTGAGGGCTGGTTGTCCCATGTGACAAGAGGCCCCCGCTAATTTGAGACAACCTATCCCACTAGATAATTAATTTTTAAGGTTAGATAGCGTCACTAAATTAACAAATTCAAAGTCAATACTTACGTTAAGTCGTATTCGGATTATTGAAGAGCAAAATAAATTCAACAGTTCTTTTTATTATCAAATGTCTTGAAAACACAAATTATGTGGCAAACGAAAAATTTACTCGTTAGGGGATTTGTTTATTTTTGTGTGGGCGACCTTAATCTACCAACGAGAACTTTCGTACTGAATACAAGTGTTCTGCGCGGACGCAGAAACGATGTGGCAACTTACATCTTGCGGAGCTGCTGAGATTTAACAATTGTGACAACCAACCCATGTGACAACCAGCCCCGGTCTCCCCTATATTCTCCTTTGGCACTGTGTTGCCCGTCGCCGTAGGTTGACAGCCTGTTGTTTATGAAAAACGATATTTTGCAAACTGGAGTATCTTTTTCTGCCGTTTTTGGAGACATGCTCCAATTAAAAATGATAAGCGCGATGAAAATGTGTGCCCGAAGCATAATATTAATAGCTTTGTCATTAATAATCAATTAATGATTGAATTCGGTTTTTCTAAATAGCTGCTTTTGTTGTGCGTCATCAACGTAAAACCTTGACTGACAACAAATAGCTTGGTGTATATTTTATGGCACAATTACTGCTGCTATATAATTGTCACTATACTGGTCCAATAAAAAGATTAAGATATGATTTAATTAATGTGATAGTAGATTTTTTGCGACGGCTGAGCCAGCTTATCAAGATTTTGTAGGGCTGCAGTAGTAATACGTGATATTACGCTTCATGACGCAAAAGTAAAGCACCTTTATATTCAAAATAAAAGTAGATATAACTCAAAATTGAAATTTAAGTTGGCTGGCTTCTGTATCTATCAAAAATTTTGGTTTGTCTCCAGCGTTTTGCTTTAGATATAAAATATTCTTACTAAGCCCTCTGTAGCAAAAGTGGTGGGGAGGCGAAGCCTGGCAGCTAGACCCTTTGGCCCACCGTACCTACCGTAGAACAAACACTGTACAAGCACTTATCTTGTAACTAATGTTTATTGAATGAACCATTGCAATCATGCGGTGTACCTATGCTGATCTTGCACCGACCTTGTGCGTAATATAGACAACACAACATCAACGGGCCGGAAGTAATTTCTGGGACGGAAATTCGAACCCACGACCTTTTAGTCGACTGATAACCAGCTCGACGCGCCAGTCACTCGGCTCCCAAACCCCTCACAAGCCCTATAATATTTATAAGATTTTGTTAACCAGAATGGGATGAGCAGTCAAGATAGCAAACGGAGTGGCAAAAATTAAAACAACCTCACAATTCTCCGGGTAATGCCCAACGTTAAGGTACTTGCCATTTTGCTATCCTATATCAACACTTACCAGTAAAAAACCGAACGCTTAAACTGCGTTTTCTGATCAACAAAATCCTTGACCACTTTGTTCAATTGTCTGGTACGCTGAAACTATATGGAACACAAGCACTTTTATACGTCTTCTCAGAAGAATATAAATCTAATATGAAATATCAACAACTTGTATGCTTGAATTCTACTAACTACGATTTAGTGAGTCAGAGCAAATGACATGCTTGCTCCTTCCACCTAGTCCGAATTCGTTGAGTATGTTAGTAACCAATACATACAAATATTTTCAGACATATGATTGGAACAACAAAAGTGTAATACTCTCATCATTCTTCTGGGGGTACGTCACTCTACAAGCCATTGCCGGAGAATTAGGCAATAGATTCGGCACAAAATGGCTATTAATAATAGCCATGTTTGTGAATTCCACAGCATGTGTACTAACCCCTACAATGGCTGAAGTTGGATCATACGGAGTGATAGGATGCAGAATACTACAAGGAATGTCACAAGGGTTCTTCTATCCCTCTGTATCTAATCTTTTGGGACAGTGGGTACCTCCTTCAGAAAGATCCCGTGCAGGAGCAATATCGTATGCAGGTAAAGAAGTCACGCCTATAGTAGTCAACCCGACCGACAACAATACTTTCTCGCCAGTGGTGTAGGACTTGACTTGACCTGATCTTACATTTTAGGGTGTCCATTTGGAATAATATTCACAATGCCAGCAACTGGATTCATAGCTGCCTCAACGTTAGGTTGGCCATGGAGTTTCTACTTTTTGGGGACTTTAGGCTACATATGGATTTCAGTCTGGTACTTTCTGGGAGCCAGTTGTCCTGCCGAGCACCCAAAAATAACGAATGAGGAAAAACAGTATATTCAACGAAGCTTAAATGCCACTCCAGATGAGGTAAAGCTGCTTGTATATAACATTATTATTATAACGCATTCGATAGTTATCTTTGAAGATACAACAACTAGATAAGAAACGGTTCCAAGAGAATTGGATGCTCATCCCGTCATTTTTTTCCTGGTTGTTCTCATTAGGTGTTTTATATATTATGTATATTCCCAAATTTCTGACTTGTATCTAGAAAAACGGACGAGTTATGCACATACTACGGATATAGGTTTTACACAGGAGTATACATACCTATACTGTGGGAACCAAATTTGTCTGTGGGCTTGAGTTCGAGGTGTACGAGAGAGGAGTGTATATAGACGCATATGTTAGAAAGAGATAGCCGCATCGTCTAGCAACGCTAATGAATTGCTAATATTTTACACCCGTTCCTTGATTTAAGATCGATGTTGACAGTATGCGTTAGGTTATTCACTACACCCAAATAATTGTTTTACTTTGAGCGTACACGTTTTTGAATTGTGAATTGTGTTGAATATGGTTAGGATCAATTCATAACCGGTCCTAACGGCGCTCCACTTAGGATCGAAGTGAAAGGGCAGGATCGTCACAAATTCTGCAACATTGCATCATTGGTTCACTAAGCAACACCGCATTCATACATTCCAAGGCAAGGTTTCCACCTGCATTTAGCGCTCGTTGGGGAGTGTCGTCCCGCAACGAAATGGGTTTCACCTGTTTACACGCGGGCAGCGATAATTTGCATTGCGTAATTGTATCTGTTACATTTAAAACAGTAAGTCGCATCAAAGTTGAAATAAATATAATCAAAATGAAAAAATAATGTTAATTTAAATATTCGGACCGACCTCCATAGGTGTATCACTCATCTAACCTATTGTAAAAGCCTGTGAGAACATTCGCTCTTCAGCCGGCTCCTATCTCTTCCCAACATGTGTTGGTACATACTTCTAGCGCTCCTCACTCGTACACATTGAACTCAAGACATCACACAAATTTGGTTTTCCTCGTAGAGGAACTGGAGAACCTTAAGGTTCCGTGGAGAATTGATATGCAACCTGAAGTGTAGGTAAACATATTTAGTTAGAATATCTCCTTTAATTTTTTCAAACTGAGGATAATGTGATTACCTAATTACAGAAAGGCGGTACACCATGGAGATCTGTTCTTACCTCACTACCAGTATGGGCATTTGTTGTGGCCATGATTGGAGAAAATTGGGGATACGCTACTTTACTCACAGAGATACCAACTTATATTGATAAAATAATGGGCGTCAATATCAAATCGGTAAGTATCAATGGATCGCGTGCACGTGACGTCAAAGACTTTGGGCAAGTTCCGTAAGTCATCTCGCTTTTGAACAGAATCAATACCTTGCGCTTAAATGGAAGTGCGCGTTAGTCAGAAACGATACCTTTATTGAGATAATCTAAGTCTAGAGGCATCGTACGCGTGTACATTTTCTGAAAGAAGAAAATAAGTTAACACAATTGTTTTCGGGTACGTTATAGGTGTCTAGATAAGCACAATGCTTAAATATTAAAAGTATTGCGATCACAACGAATGAATGTCATGCTATTTTTTAAAAAAATGCAGGATAACATTATCCGTATCTATGTGCATGGAGTGTCTGAAAACAACTATAAATCATGTTACATGTAAGTCTACAGACTTTATTAACACCATGTGTATATATATATAGAGAGAGAGAAAAAACGATCATGCGGAGCAAGGTATAAAACAAAAAATAGGAAAGTAATGTACAAAATCCGCAAAAAGGGACAGTGGATTCGAGCAGAAAATAGGATACGTAACCCGAGCAATACGTATTTCTGCTTGTTGGCTTCATCAGGCCCGAAAGGAATATACATATGCAACCACAAAAGTAGATACACATTCCCATAGTTCCGGAGAGGGGCGTAACCTGAGGGAACGTGGAAAAATCTAACGAATCGATATTGAATGAGAAAGAACTCTCTTCTCTTAACAGAAGCGTTTTATTCAAACGAACCAGTTTTAGGATAAGAAACCATACTGGCATGCAAGGCAATAAAAAGGCTGACATAGACGCAAAATCAGCCATTATTTCAGGAGCTAGAGAAACACCACTATTGTACAGATACTTACTTAGTTAACACAAGACAAACTTAATTCCAGAGTGGAAAACTATTTTGATGGAAATCTGTAATAGCAACTACTATCTGCTACATATAACTTTTTCCACGAGTATACCGCACATTTCCAATTTTAATATCAATTAAAGGTGTTCCGCTACATTAACTAGAATAAAAATAGACCATGGAGATTTCTCAACACACAAGATTAAGAGAGTTGCCCCTCTGTTTCCGGCATGCAATCGATATATATATATATATATATATATATATATATATATATATATATATATATGAGACTGATACAGATAGTTTTATATGATCTGTAATCCATACGGGACATAAACTGCCAGCATAGCATCTGAAAAAAATAGAGACGTCTATCGTGCAATACTATTGTTTTCTGGGAGATTGGAAACAGGATATAATTCTAGTTTCATACATTTTGGAGCAAAAAGACGTCTAATGGCAACCCTCCAAAAAAGGCTTTTATTTGAATGATGTCACTGAGACTCACAGCTGCGCTCTTGGATCTGGATAAAGACTCCTACCAGTTTTATCCAAAGTATTATAAATTAATTTTTTATGTGGAGAACTTGAAGTTGAGATGTTACTCAACTCCAAACGCGAAAATTTATAAGATCCTGGGGTTTCTCTACGATACCTTGCTATCACCTGGTCTAGAAGAGAAGTCTTTGCCTATTGCCGATTATCGAGAAGCAATTATGAGTACTTAAGCATCTCCATGCTAACAGCGTTTGAACTAGTATAAAGTAAGTGAATTGAAAAATTTAGATGAGTTTCTCAAAGAGTCCTAGATAAAAAGGAAGAGTTTCGGTAAATATTGCTATGGAGGATGCAAAGCATCCTCCCTCAACCCACATGATCCTGGAGCGATGAATTAGCCTACATCACCCGCCACCAACCAACTTTCAGGATCGACTGTTAGAGGCAAATTCAATCCTACCCACGGCATCATACCTTTGTCCTTTGGAGGTGCTTGATGCGCCCCATCATGCGGCGTTCAAGTGAAAGTAACCGATTTGGTAATCAGGTAAAATCTCTAATTGCTTTTTGTTAGTGGCACGACGCCGGCTCGTGGCCACATAACACGGTAACACCATGAGTTACCTCTGCTCCACGGAATGGAGGAGGTTCGTGTTCGAGTCCCACCATGCCCCATTTTTCCTGTCCCTCAGGTTGTTGTTTACCAAACATACTCACTAATGCCGATGCCATCATCCGAAAAATCGTGTACAGGTTACTGTCCTCGCATGGTGGCACCATGGTGCGTGCGCACGAGACGGCGTGATGTAACTAGATAGAGATTGGAGACACCTTACCAATGCGATTTGTTTTACTCAAACCCCGCCAGATGGGACATCAAGCAGCTTGAAAAAAAAAAGGAACAGTGGCTGGAATGGAGGAGAGCGCCCATTTTCTCTCAAGTTGTTTGCTAGAGAATAAAATTGGTTTCACCATCATTTTCTTACTTTAAACTTCGATTCTTAAAATTCTTTGGGTCTTGAAGGATATTGTGTGTGGAAAATGTTCAACATGACCCACTCTCCAAAATATCTATGAGACTGTCTGTGAAAACTCGTATGGATATAAAAATTGACGTTCCACATGTGCAGTTCGTATAAATTTTGAAGAATTTATGCGTGTTCAAGTAAACCACAACTCGTTTTTTCTGCGTCAACGTTTATAAGAAATTTCCGTACTATTTTGTTCAAAGAAAGTGCGATTATAACTTTATCGGAAATCCCTCATAAATGTTAGTATTAAATATGGCTATAAGTAATATTAGTAGCATTTTGATAAATTAAATTTAGGCAGACGGTGATATGCTCAAAATTATGACTCTCCTTCAACCTTTTGCACCTCCGACAACTATCACATAGGATTGAATTTGACGAAAAAATAACTATAGGTCGACGTAATGTGTGAAGCTGAAAATACAAAATTAAAATCAAATATTTTCTATCCTCCATCTTTCATTTGAGCAGCGCCATTTCTATGGCATGCCCTCGCCAATAGGCTCTGACTCAATTTTTTATTTGGTTACAGAATGGCTTGTTTTCTGCAGCACCCTATCTAGCGAACCTGATATTCACCCTCATATTTGGAGTTATTTGCGACCATATTATCATTCGTGGATACGTCAGCCGTGGAGCAGCGAGAAAAATATTCCAATCTTTAGGTAAGAAATTTCATTGCGGATGAATAAATATAAGAATAATATACCTAGGTAAGGTGGATCGTTCTCAGCCTGACATAGACGTTGCTCTTCAAGCTGCAAAAATTTATAATTTCTGCATTATTTAACTTGTTCTGTCAAGTAGCTCGCCTACACAATTTTTTGAAGCGAACGTCTTGCGTGGTTTGCATCGAGGAGGATAAACTTGTCATCAAATTCCTCGTATTGGAATGATAAAGCTTTGAAGCAGTTCTTTCGAAGCTAACAAAAGTTCACGGATACTTTGCTAATTTGATTTCAATTGTTAGAAAGTTCGCAGCTGAACTTAAGCTTTGTTGCACGTCCCTTGAAGGTGACCCACATGAAGGACGGCCAAAAACGCCACTATCCCTGAAACCATCGAAAGGGTCCAAGATATCGTCGCGGAATGTGAAAGCAGCTGAGGCCGACTGGATGTCGAAAAAAGGTGCGAAACTCTTGCACAAAGATCTGCAGTATTACTTTGACCAGTTCAATAGGAATCCGACCGATTTTATTCAACAATTCGTTACGATAGATCAGAGGTTCTCAAAGTTTTCGTCTACTGTGTACTTTGAGAATCAAACCCAGCATAGACCAGGACAGCCTGGGGGTGGGCATTCCAGCCTCCAAAAAGGAGATCCATCACTCCAAAATGACAAGCTAGCATAAGGTTATCCGTCATTTTTTATATACCAGATACGTCACCCTCGTCCATCGTCCTGAAGTCCCCAAAAGCCCTCAAAAAGTAATGCGAAACCCCAATTCAGAAATGTTGCAGCACAGCAGTTTATCTTTGATTAAAATGTTGCAAATCCATTGTTTATAGATGTGAAACGCGAAAAACAGTCCTTCGAAATTTAAAGGGAACTTTGTTGTTTGTCCGCGTCGACGGTTCGAATTACATTGATGCTCTGTGTGCTAGAACCTGTGCTGCCCTGCATGCGCGTAAAATCCACACGTCTGAAAAATATCGGCCATAGTGATTCTACTGCGATCTAACGCTCTCGTATAGAATCTGTAAGTATAGACCTGTATATCTTTCAGCAACATGTGTACCTGCAATAGCGCTAGTAGCCCTGTCTTTTCTTCCCACCGACGCCACTGTGCTGAGTGAAACGATGCTGATCACAGCAGTAGGAGTGAACGGAGCCATCCATTCTGGAGTCTTGATTAACCCAGTGGACTTAGCCCCCAACTACTCTGGCATCATCATGGGTTTCGGAAATGGGCTGTCTCAGATATTCTCAATCATTGCACCTCTTGCTGTGCAGTTTCTTGTAACGGATGAGGTGAGTATATTCCTTAATGAGATTCAGGATCGTATCGTCAGTCGTTCCTACAATCATTGTAGGACACCTTTATAGCCGCTTTGATTCTCTTAGTTTTTCCTGTCCTTGAGAAAGACAGTGGTATTTCTGGATTGCTACTGTTCCGTGTCAGCGCCCTATTTTGAGGTTATGTTTTCTTTTTGAATGTTAGTAAATTTTTGGGCAGATTAGACTTGATTTTTATCATCTGCCCGAAATTTCTTAAGATTCAAAAAGAAAAGATAACCTCACAATAGCAGAACGCTGATACTGATATGAAGTAGTAGAAATCTAGAAATACCCCAGCCTTTCTGAAGGAGACTATAACAATCAAAGTCATAAAGGACTCCTACGCCTTGTAGGAACGACTGACGGGACGAAACTAAATCCTTCGAAAAGCACGGCAAGTGTTACCTTAAAAAATTGTTGAAAGCTGCCGCGATCTTTTTTGTAGGGTCCGACCGAAGTTCCGGCATCGGCTTCGGCTTCGCCCACATTTGGTGCAATATTTAAAACAAGAAAAAACAAATATTAATTTAAAAGGTATTCAAATAATTTATAATGGACATTCTAGTAATTTAAGTATTATGGTGGATTATCATTTAAAATTTGCTGAACGCGTAAGCTATGTAATGTCTCTTTACTCCTACATTACATATCATCGACTGTTTTCCCCTACAGTCAATTCGATCCCTAGCGTTGCTGATGACAGCACTCTACATGCATCAATTCAGAACTAAGCCAGTGAGATGGGGAGAAGAAGACTAGCAGCCACATCCTCTCTGATGAGAGATCTGGAGGTCGTCACTGCTTGTGGATGCAACAGTCTGGCACAGTTTAATGCTTCCAAATCAAAGTACTGTGCCCTGACGCACAGGAAACGCTCTACTGCTCACCAGGTGGATGGTTGAGTTGTGTCAGGGAGCCGTTTATTTCGGCTAGTCGGAGTCCAGATCACCGTCTCGTCAATCGCGGCAGCTGCTGGAAGAAAGCTAGCCTATTTGTCTTTGGTTGAGAAGTACTGTCAACATAACCTCCTAGCTTTGTACAAGGCCCAGATGAAACCTAACCTCGAGTGTTGCTCTCATGCTACGGATGCTGCCGCCTCGACTACATTATCCACGCTCGATTTTGTTTTGTAGGGCAGTCGGACTGATAGATGACCCTTCTCTAACGGACAGTTTCAGAATCCTTTCGCACCGAGAGGACCTTGGAGACCTAGCTCTCTTGTACCGCTATGTCAACGAGCTATGCTCCTCAGAGCTCTCTTTCATGATAGCGTCGTGTGTTGAACCTGCCAGATTGACCCGTCTGACTGCTGCCTTCCATCCTGCCCATGCCGAATTTCTTACATCCACTGGCCGAGACGTCCGCTCCTTTGATCCTAGGGTGTCGAGATTATGGAGCAACCATGATGTGACTTTCTCCAGTTCCACTAACCTTAGGCAGTTCAAAAGTGGGATTAACAAAGTGTCTTTAAGCTCATTACAGCAGCTGCGGTTCCCCAGTATTTAGGTTTTTGCCTACGCGGCTACTTCGATATGAAAAATACCAGGCTCCTCTCAGATTGATATTTGCGAATAAATCTATGTTACATAAATCGGTCAAGAGGCAACTTTTTTAGACATTGCAACAAAGAATCTTGATCAGACTGTCATGTTGCAGGCAAGTAAATAATCTTAGAAACTATCATATACTTATTTATTGTTTTAATAGTATGAACATTGATAACATGTGTAAACAGCAGCTCTTAAGTCTGACTTCAAAAACACTGTCATACTTAGCAAGCAAATTTATACCTTTTGGAAATACCCACCGCGTAGATATTACATATAGGGAGACTTTGTCAATCTCACGCGATTAGCAAATCTCTATTTCAAGAAACGTATATTTGTAACTCAATCAAGTTATACAGGGTGTCAAAACAATCAAATGAAGCATCTAGTGGTGACCTTAAATTTAAAATTTACATTCACTTTGAAGGTCATTACAAGAGCAAGTTGATTTTTTCCACTAGGAATCCCATTTTTTATTGCAGAACTAGCCAAAAAGATTTCGTTTCCGATGGTATTAATATCTTGCTGTCTAAAATTACACCTAGAGGTTATTTCAAGATAAACTGTTGCTCTATTATTTCCATGAAACAGCATTCCCGTTGTGAAGCCGCAGATAGCTGGAAGGAGAAGAACCCTTCATTCTGATCGAGACAGGCTGGTGTCTAGCCAGTGAGGGCTTTAAAGGGAAATTTTTGGTGTTGCAATTTTCCATGCGGAAAAACCAATTTGACCTTGAAGTTCATGGCCAAGGTCGGAATGAAGGTCACCATCAGATGTGTGGTGTCCTATAGTTTTTGAATTAAAAGTATGCGCTGCTTCACAACATTCCATGAAAGTGCAAGAATTGACCTTGAAATAACCCAGATGTTATATTAGACCCTATGATAGCTATACCATTTGAAACGAATCTTTTTGGCTTTCTGTTTCTGCAACAAATTATAGGAGTTACTATATAAAAAATCATTTTGCACATTGAATGATCTTTAAGGTGTCAACGTCAAATCCGATATTACCGCTAGATGCACCATTTCATTTCCTAAAACGCTTGTAGTTTTTCCTAGCAACCTTAGTTTCCGAGATATTTGGTTATGTCCATACTTTTGGGACACCCTGTATAACACCTTAGATAACAAAACCTTGAAAGGAGCTCTATTCAACATCAACGTAATATTTTGTAGTCAATAGTTGTTCTTGTTTAGCTGTTTCCTTTGTTTTTTATTGTGAATGCCTTATTGAGGAATGCCCACACTGACGCGAATTAATTCGCCGCGATAACGAAGCGAATTTTTCGCGACATCGGCGATAACAGAAATCGTCGCTCCTGTCACATTTGCGTGAATATTTCGCAACATAGAAATTTCATAAGATATATTTTCTTTTGATATATGAAAAGATGGATTCTCCAAGCTCTGGAGAAGCAATACTATTACTGGCTGCCTTAGAAGATGAGGAAGTTAAAATTGAAAACCTGCCTGAAATATGTATCTCTTGCCCAATTACATCACATAACTTATCTTTCTTTCTTATATTTTTGTAATCTTCATAGCTTATATCTTATAAAATCGGATATTCCTTCACAAACTCTATTTAACCTTTCTGTTTAAGCTATCTTTGACTCGCAACGAAAGCCACAGATACTGCGCGGCTTGTCGCAAAAGAAATAAAATCGCTGGGGTTTTGTTGTCGCCTAGCAAAATTTTCGTGCCGGTATGTTACTTCTCATTATGCGCCAAAGACCTTGAGTCGACGAAGGTGGGATATGCATATAACGTATGTGGCAAAAAAGTTGCAATCCGTTCTATAATGAATAAGAAGAATTAAGAATATACTAGAGTATTGTCAATTAAAAATGCTATATCATGCATTGGCAGAATCGCACACAAATTATAGCATGTGGAGCAGCAAACATAACTCATATATTCAAATTAGAAATAACTCAAAAAAGTATTTTAAATACAATATCTCATAAACCCCAACTGTATCCAACTGACCATCTCCATAAAGAAACTGGTATATTAGACATAAGGCAATTACACCTATTAAAAGTTTTGATAGTTCAACACACATCCCGTCCTCCCAACCAAGAGCCGATACATTCTTATCAAACAAGAAACAGGAAATATTTAAAGGTCCCAAAACCAGAAAAAAATATAATGCTCAGATCGTATTCTTACCTAGGACCAAGATGTTACAATCTTCTTCCACAAGACCTGAAGATGATACGTTCCAAACACACATTTAAAAGGAAAGTAAAAGGCTGGATAACATCTATGCCCAGACAGAGAATTCACGAAATCGTTGACTTAAAAAGAATACACTTAACATGAAAAAGAAATTCCTAGAATGAAGTTACCGAATTAAACAAAATACCGTATACCCAACACTACCGATATACCCCTGATATACTTATTTCCGATTTTGACAACATACTCGATATATCCCCCAAACACAGAACAGAAAACAAAAACACTAATAACCTAAGATAGACTTTGTGCCCTAAATGAGACATTTCGCCTTAAAAGGATCTATAATTAAATGAAGCCATCCATACTCCCACTTTGTCAGATAATGTATTTTAAAATCCTATTTTAATGTTGTTATTATCCTTTTCTTAGAAAATCACCTGTTTTTTTATTCCTAGTTTAAGTAGTAGGTAATTATTCATAAGCTAATCCATACCCGCGTACAAGGCTAGCCTTCTGCAGGTTTTCTACCATGTTTATTGTTCTAAAATATGTCCTTTCTAGTTATCTGCTTATAGTTTGGACCATAAACATTATTATTATTATTATCATTTCGCGAAGCGAAAACTTCACCAGCGCACCGAATTATTCGCGTCAATGTGTGCATTTCTTTATTATTGTCATTAGATTAGGTGATCGCTAGAGAAACAACAGAATATCATAATTCGAGAAATGATAACTCCAATACATAGGTATGAAGGTTTTCTGTATTTTCAGGAGGATAAATCTTTATGGAGAATAATATTCATCACAGCTGCTGCCATGTTTGTAGGAACGAACTTGTTCTTTGTTCTCCTATCGTCGGGCGAGGTTCAACCATGGAACTACAGTAATGCAAAAACTACTACGACCAATAATAAGACAACTACAGAAAATGAAGATACACCGCAACCTGAAATCGTTAAAGTTTGAGAACTGCAATTCATTCTTTTAACAACATTTTTGATAATGTTTACCCCAAAGTAGTGAACAATGGTCTTAGGTCTTAGTATAAGTAATGTGCTTCTTTCGAAGCATTAAGTGTGAGCCGAGCTCGAACCAGATTGCTAATACTTACTGTTTGATTAAACAATTATGTGCTCGCATTCATATAAAATACAAGTATACATATGAAAAGCGTATCCATACGAAGCACTAAAGCATGAAGTGTAAGTGTATCCATCCCTTGTAAAAGGAAATATTTTGGACTGCGTCCCCCTGTTCACGCCTCGTTGCATTATTCTAGTCTAACTGGAAATCAACATTGTTTTTTATTCACTATTATGCTCTTCGTTAAAGGCAAAGATGCAATAAAGGCTTTCTCATATCTTCTAGGTTTCTCTCAAATACCTATTTCATGTTACTGACTAAACTGCTGACCTGTGATTCGGGTTCCTTAATTGCCGAAGAATGAAGGTCACTCGGCACAGGGATGCAAATATGTTATTAATGAAAAATATTTGAAAATAACGCTAAACTTGAAACATAATCAGCATTTGTAACGTGACTGCTGCTAGGACCAGATACTTGAGTTACAGTTACTAGTAGTAGTGATTGTTAGAAGCTAATGCACAAATTGTTTCGAAATTCTTCATGCTGGTTTGGCTCACAAATCACCAGGTAGTCAGGTCGAGTTTTTTTATTTTCAATTGTTTTTGTATTTTCAATGAAGAATGTCAATTTTTTGTCGAAAATCGTGTTTTTGATGAAAAATTAAGAAACAAATAAAAACCTGACGTAGTTTTCTCGAACAACCTTTCACTTAATAACCCACTATCTTTTTGATTGCGATGATACATTGACGAGTAGCAACGTGCACCCCAAAACAACCACTACGCGTTGTCTCAAAACGTTTGCTGCCAACTGTATGTTTATTAAGATTGTTTTATGAAAATTCAACGCAATACAGTTAAGACGTCATATTCTATGGTACTTAATGAAATAAGTTACCATTACTTGTATCGACAGCAATCTTGAAAATATGTACTTTTTCATGTAAATGAAACACCGGAATAGAAATCATAGAATCCAATAATTAAAGGCAATGATTTGGACCAACGGACTACATCCATAATCTCCCAGGCGGTGAACGCAAGGGCAAAGCGGGCAATTTCTATGCAGAGCCACTCCTCAGAGACATTGACGGCTGGTGCAACAGTGCTGCGGTCTCGGGTCGCTCGTTATTTCCGACTTGTGGTCACCTTGTTTGCGCTTAAGGGACGATAACCTCTGCCGACTACGGCTTTGGAACGGATGGTGCTGCAGTGGGGTATAAATGCACAATGAGCAAACAAGAAATGCAATAGGCGTATTTAAGAAGGCAATATCTGATAACAGTTAAAGGAGTATATTTACATCTGCTCAGAAAAATATTCTCATTCGATTTTCTGTATAATTTTATTCAAAAAGGACTAACTACCTCTGACGAATGTCCATCCTGCTTAACCCAAAATTACATCAAAAACTGCTTATACAATTTTTTGAAAAAATTCCAAAAGTTATTTCATTTTCTAAGAACAAAGTTTATTTGTGTCTTGTGTGTCATTCTGAACAACAATGCTGCTTATGAGCTGTTCCTTAAGTGTTATTATTATTATTACAAAAGGGAATCAGCGGAGTTCAGGTTACTATGAGCTCATGTACAAAAAGTGAAGTAGTCTATGAATAAGTAACATAAAATTCGTAATCGAATGTAATTCATAGCTATAAGTCCGTACGCTGCTCCCCTATCATAAGATTCTTTGAATATATACGTATAAATTGAAGAGTCATTCATTCACTACACATCCAGGTAAATTGTTTCAAGTGATGAACACGCAATTTAGGAGCACCTACTGACAAACTCATGTTCTGGAAGCATCCTTCTGTATTTTGATGTTGTGACGACGGAGGTTGTTGCGCGACAAATGATACAACTGAGACAGAAAATAAAATACAAAAATAAATGTTTTAATACAAGCTTTTATTTAGCTGTTCGAATGAACTAAAAATTTGGAAATATCTTTTTCCGGTTCGAAATATTTAAAAAAAGAGTTCCTTGATTTCACTTTTTCAAATAAACGCGTGTTTCACCCTTTTTCCTGATGTGAAAACGTAACATGCATTTATTTGAAAATTTAAGATGGGTGACCTGCATTATTGTTTAAATATTCCCTATCGGAAAAAAATATTTTTAAATTTTCAGTTCATTTTATGAAAAACTGAATGTTTTTGAGCATGTAACATGTTTATTTTATTGATTTTTTACTTTTATGGTGTCACATAACTAGTTTTGTAATTTCTATGTAACTATATAACATAAAACTTCTTACCTTACTTGTATTATAAAATTTCGTTAGACATTTTATCATATACAGGGTGTCCGCAAAGTTGGGATTTTCCTTTTCAGAAACAACTACCCTTGAAATAACAAAGGTAATGTGTAGTGAAACGAGGGCGACCAAGTAAAAAAAAATAAAGGAAAAAGTACTCACTCTCCAGTTGACGAGAAGGGCTAAGTACGTCTCTGCCCGAAATCATACCGCTCCAACAGAAAATGAAATCAGCTGATGCGGTACCGAGCAGACGCAGGCAAACAAGGAAGGCAAAATGTTGCGTAAAAAGTCTCAGTATTGCATCCCGTCCAATCGATTTGCGAGAATAAATGGTCCAATGAGCATACCGTTCACCATGCCAGCCCAAACATTCACCGAAAATGTTTGTTGAAAATGTGCCCGATGGACAGCGTGCGCATTTTCTACTGACCAAACATGTGTGTTGCGAAAGTTATTCACCCCATTACGCGTGAACGTAGATTCGTCTGTCACCAATATGCACTTCAAAAAGTCTGGATTATTGTCATGTTGATGCAACAACCACTCACAAAACCGCACTCTTGCTGGAAAATCGTCAGGTTGAAAGGCTTGCACACGTTGGACGTGAAACGGATACAGCCCCTCTTCACGCAGTGTTTGCCACACTTTAGTTTTTGATACTTGCACTTCTCTAGCCACGTCTCTAGTGCTTGTTGAGGGATTCTCGTCTACGCGATTATCTCTACACGCGTGACCGTAACCATCGGTTGAAGGTTGCATAATGACCTGACACACTGACCCCGACCCAGTTCAGTCGTCGGGTTGAGCTAGTGTCCTAGTACCACTCGGGGATGTCGCGGGTCACGGCTACAGGACGGTATTCATATATTTTTGATGTTGCAGAGCCCTTTATCTCGGTGCCCTTAAGACATTGGTGTATATGGTACTAAGAAAAATTGCTTATGTTTTCAAGATCTACACGTCGTGTAAAGGAAAACCCCAACTTTGCGGACACCCTGTATTGATTAGTCGATATTTTGCGGCGATCGCTATATGAAGTTTATCATGACTTTATTTGCTTGTCGTGTTTCTCTCATTAAGCCCTTTCATATGATACCTGTATCATAGCGGTGGTCACGGAAATTGTAAATCGCCATCCAGCGACGGTCGCCATATTGGAACTAGAATAATGTCACTTTGCTTATTATGTTCCCTCATCAAGCCCTTTCATTTGATACTCGTAGTATAGACGTGGGTTAGAAAATTGTAAATTGCCACCATATTGGATGTAGAATGACAAGCGTTGCTTGCTAATGTTTACTCATGAAGCTCTTAAATTCGATATCTATATCATAAGGTGATTATGATAGCTACAAACGACATCTTGGGATCGGCGCCATATTGGTTTTGGAATCACATCAATATGATTATTGCATTTCTTTCTTCAAACCCTTTTATCTAAAACTCATATTGTAGGTGTGACTTTGAAAAATATAAATGACTAGTTTTGCGGCGTACGTCATATTGGATTTAGAATGACGGCATTATGCTGATTGTGTTTCTTCCAGCAAGCTTTTCATTTGATAAGCATGCCGTAGAGATAATGATGAAATATGTTAATCGCCATTGTATGGCGGTTGCCATATTGAATTTAGAACGACGTCACTACGCTTATTGTGTTTCTCTCATCTAGCCCTTTAATTTAATATCCATATCTTAGGGTTTACTATGAAAATGATAAATCAGTATTTTGTAATATCCACCATATTGGATTCAAAATGGTGGCAGGTAATTTATTTTGTATTGTCACGCAAACCAAATGTGTGTACAATATTTCAGCTGACTTGGTTAAATTTAAAAGATTGAAAATTTAGTTACAAAATTTGTCCCACACATACTAATATACTAATAAGACACTAACAAACCAGTCAAGTTGAATAAAAGCTTGTAAAAACTGCAAAATATGCCATTTTCAACTTGACACTTGCTGTGCTGTTACGAGTTGACATTCTTGCGTTTTCACGCACACTCTGGACAACAGCAGTACTATTTTTGGCTGTACGTACGGTCGAACACGCTGATACCTTGTGTTATCCACAAGCAGGCCAATTTCACGAACCTTCCTCAAAAGTTTTCGGATACCAGTCGCGGACGGAGCTTTATTCCGACCAAATAGTGTTCTCAATTTTCGCACAGTTTCTGCAACACAGCACTCACTTTCAAAATAGTTTTTTAATACTTCCCACCTTTGTTCAAGACTAGAGCGGGAGTTTGATACAATATAACTGTCAATATGTTGATCATGGAAGTGTTACCAACTGTCAAAATAATACCAACTTAGAAAAACAAATGATGGCCCACCCTTTACATACCGCTGCAGTTCCGTGATGACATGTACAGCGAACAACTGTGGGGTCTTAGTGCGTATATAGTTTTTTTTGAGAATTCCAAACTGGGTCCAGGAAAGGCTAATAGAATCTAGAGAGAGATCTATCAATTTTCTTGCATGAGAGTGGCTATAAAAGTTTTCGCCTTTCTGAGATGTTGACTTTGGCAAAAACGTTACAATATGTAGCCATGCAGGGTGATTCACAAGTCGTCACCAAAAATAAAACATCATCGACAGGGCCACATTTCAAGGGGGGGTCTTCTATGTAACATTTTTCCCTCGATGTCTTCGTTGAAATGATAAAAAAGCTCAAAAACCGTCAACTGGGTTGAACTAAAATTTCTTACGTGGATTTACCTAAGGAGATACAGGGGATTAGTGGCATTATTTTTCCATATAAAAATAGTACTCCACTGTTTTTTTAAAAACTTGCAATTTTTCGAATTTCACCTTTAATTTTCTACTTATGATTAATCTTGTGTTTTTTCCTAGAGTGCATTGTTTCCGTAAAAATAAAAAAAATAGATAATCAAAGCTTTATTTGAATAAATGTTCAAAAGGACCACCATTCTGACAGATACAAGTGCAGCATCTTTTTGATAAAGAAACACGTATTTCTGCAAAATTTGGTCTGGTTTGAATATGATGAAACGCATTATATATTCTCGTGTAACTAATCAACTATATTAATTTGTTCAGCATACACTAGTTGTTTAAAAGCGCCCCACAAAAAGAAATCCATGGGGTTCAAATCAGGAGACCTCGCAGGCCAATCTACGGGACCGTTTCTGCCAACCCATCGTTGCTAAAATGATTATTTAACCATGCGGTTACGTCACGACGAACATCCGGTGGGGCACCGTCGTGCAGATATCATCATCTAACACATTTTCTATGTGACTTTCTAGAAAAGCTAAGTATGAGTTTGAATTTAAACGTTGTGGCAATAAGTACAAAAACAGTTGGCCATTGGAAATGCCGCACCAGACATTTCTAGAAACTCTGTGTTGAAACGAGTGAATTCCTACAGAACGGGGATTTTCTGACGACCAAGT